TTGGCCAAGACTGCTCAACAAGTTCAGAGCAGCACTTCAAAGCGTAGTCGCCATGGAAGTGACGATGGTAGCTCCGAGGATTCATCTGAGGAGAAGGCTCCAGTTCCATCTGGTCGAGGTAGTAGAGCAGGGTCGGTGGCAGCCATTGGCGAAGAATCGGCTGCGGCTGCTTCTAGCCCAACTCCCAGTCGTCGAGGTCTGCACATGCCAAAGGCTTGGAAGAACAAGCCGAAGTCCAAGCGTCAGAAAACTGCTTCGCCGGCATCCGCTCGTTCACGCTCCAGCCTAGCTTCTCACCGCTCGACGTCTCGGCCGCCTGCGCGTTCACCTTCGGCGGCCCACGCCAAATCGCCCGCGAGTCACCCGAGATCTCGTTCGCATTCTGTGTCCAGTCGTCCGGCCAAGTCTAAGTCTCCCGCATCTCCACCGTCCGCTCCTGCTACTCCTCCCAAGGCTGAGCCGTCGAAGGACGACCAACCTCCTGAGGTCGTGGACTTGACGAAAGATGAGAGTGACGAGGACATGGAGGAGGAACCAACTGCAGTTCCGACGGAGTCCGAAGACACGGAGGGTGACTCGCCCAGCTTCAACGACTCGTCCGGCAACTTCCCAGCGCAGTAACGTGGCTTCTCCCTCGTATCGCGCTCCTTCGCCACCGGCTGACGCTTCCCCACAAGCTCCTACCTCTTTCGAGCTCGAGATGCAGTTACTATTTGGATCTGACGACGATGGGGATGCTCCAAGCTGTTCGAAGGCGACTCGTGAACCTGCTGGGCTGATGTCACCTTATCGTTCGTCCTCTGATGAAGATACACCGTCGCCTCCCAAGCGTTCGGACAGCACACCAATCTCCAGACAACCTTCGGTTCCACCTTCTCAATCTCCTGATTCTTCCGATGGCGACGAGGGTGGCTCCAGCAATGGTTCTCACGACGGTGATGGAGCTGGTGGAGATGGTTCTCGAGACGACGAGCCTTCGTTCGATTTTCCTTCTGGTGATACTGCTGGTGATGAAGATATTCCACCGTCGACCGACGTTTCTCGAGCATCCGCTGTTGTCGATGGTTCTGTAACCAGTGTTCCGACGACTTCTTCCCCGGGATCTCCCCGAAGCTCCGAATCGTCTCTTCTGGTCGCTGATTCCGCATCTCGTGAAACCTCGTCCGTGGCGCCTCAAGCTTCGTCTCCACTGTCAAGAGTTCTCACGAGTCCGACGACTACTCGTCATCACCATCCGTCTCCGGGGTCTGCACTGAGCCAGACTTCGCTTCTTCCTC